ATATATATATATATATATATATATATATATGCTTCAATGCAATCTGGCTCCATTTTTTTTGTACCACTACCACCCCAAAAACACACTCTTAGCCCCCGTTTGGTACACGGAATTCAAATTATGGAATTGGAATTGATGGCTTCAATTCCAATTCTGCAATTTGGTAACAAAAAAATTATGTAAATTTGGAATTGATAGTGCAAAAAATAAATTTGAATTAGCATAATTCAATTCTATGGAATTGAATCCCATGGAATTTCAATTCCAATTCCATTCCAATTCTATCAATTCCATATACCAAACGGACCCTTAATTATTTTGTATGACATAAAATTTTTATATTTTCAATCATTCTACACATTATTTCTTATAATTTCTATGATTTTTTTTACGTTATCGCTCTTAATTTTACAATCACTTTTACACTCTAATACGCCTTTTGGCATTGGACGCAAGGAGTACATCATTTTTATTGACAACCAGACCAAATATTATAATTCCACCGTCCCTTAAATTCTTTCTCCTTTCTTTTTTTTCTTGTCTCACAAACTCTTTCCTCTTTCTATTTAAAACTACTTTTACTACCTATCACATCATATATTTTTACTAATAATATATCCGTCGCATCATACTTTTGTTCATCACACCAAAAATATTTTTAGAAAATTAACACGAAAATATATGTCTCCCTCTTAAAGGGTCGGAGGGAGTAGTTATATCACCTCTTATTTGAAATTAATATTTGATGTAATTCAAATTTAATGTATAAAAATTATGAAGTATCATTTTATTTCTACATCAATTTTGACATAGATTTAATCAAAAATAAATTCAGTCAATTATCATATAAAATAAATTCATTCAATTAAGCTAAGATTGGTTTTGCTCATTTGTATGTTTGCCCCTGCAACGTCACAAAGAAGAAGTGTGGATGCATGCGTGCACGTTGGATACACAAAATTTAATTTTCTACTCTTCACACAAACTACTCGTTTAATTAAATATCCATGAAAGGATATAAATGAATTCCTTCAAGAAACTCAAAAACTAAGAGAGAGATTAATATATTTAGAAGAAAGTGATGTGGTGCATGCCATGATTTATACGTATCATAACATTAAGAAATATTTGCACTAAATAGCACTAAAATTTAAGTCATTTCTCTAATTTTTTATTCCCTAAGTAGTACTTAATAATGTCCATAATGACCAGTGATGACGAAAATTTACTTGAATAATGACTACGGCATAATGACTAAAAGTGCTATATTGGGAAGAAAAACACATGTAATGCTGTTTAAGGAAAGTCATTATGTTTTTGTGCTATTTGAGTAAATTTCTCTAACATTAATTGATGCAGGACAAGTTACTCTTAATACACACACACACATTAAAATGAGATAAATTAAAGTATAATTTCCGCTTGAACTAACAATACTAAGTGTGAGGCATTGCCATGGCCGATACGTGCAAACTTCCATGCAGAGCATGTTTATGTTTACTCTTTATCATTACTGACAAGAGTCAAATCCGATCCTGTTACAATAGTAAATAGTATATTCCTGCACATATTATTATGTACATGGTAGTATCTTTGTATGATTCTGTTTCCTTCCGTATTTCTTTCTTTTTGTAGTTGTTTTCATATAGAGTTTTTAACTTTTGAGATTCTATATATACACAGACTCTCAGGAAGATTCGGTAGCAATTGCGGGTATGATTACTGGTTCTAAATTTGGGGATTGTATCCAATCGAATCTCATCCAAAACCACCTCACACTCAATTGTCTATAA